GAAACAACGCTGTGTGGGATGCGGCCTCCCACACTGCTGGCCAGTGCGGTCACCAGTGCGAATGACGTACGTGCAGGTAAAGCCACGCTGCGCATACCACTCACGGGCGGCCTGAAGCGACGGGGCGGGCTGCTGACTCTGTCCACCGCCAGCGCCTCCACGACCACCACCGCCGCCGCCACCGCCCCGGCCACCTCCACCCCTGCCGCCGCCACGACCACCTCCGCCTCCGCTGCCGCCTCCGCCCCTGCCACCGCTCCCGCCGCTGCTGTCACCACCCCCACTGCCGCCACTAGCCTCTCCAGTCCCACCGCCACCCCCACCGCCACCACTCCCGCCTCCCCCGCCGCCACCTCCACCCTTGCCCCCTTTGCCCCTGCGGCGCCCGCTCGGAGCAGACGCAGCCCCGACCTTCTCAGCACCAAGGAGGTCGACAGCAGCAGCAGAGGCGACAGAGGGGAGGAGAGGGGAAGGGGAACACCCCTCAAAGAACGGGGTGCGGGGGTCGCCACGAGAGGTGCCTACAGCGACGATGCTCGCCTCAGCTGCAAGCAATTCCTTCTCGAGGAGGGCAATGGTGAGCTCAGTGGGAGAGCGAGCGAGGAAGTGATCCCTGACTGCGCGCAGAGAGTCAGGGAGGCGGGTGACGATGTGGTAAAGCGTGATCCAGAGCGGGGGGGGGTTGCTGGCAAGGAACTCGTCAGGCATAGCAGCGCGAAAGCGGGCCTCACTGGTCCTGAGGTGGGTGAAGAGGTCAGCGACTGTGCTGAAGGAGGCCAGGTCGGGGAACAGGTAGGGGAGGGTGAGGCGGCCTAGTGCGGCAGAGGCAGGTGAGGAGTAACGAGCAACTACAGCAGTGTACAGGTCCTTAGCAGTCTTGTGCTGGCCAAAGTGCTCGCGCTCATCTAGTGGCAGGGAGTTGCGAATGGCGAAGCGAGCGTGGGCATCACGAGTCTGCCACTGTGAGCGCTGAGTGCTGTCTGCAGTGGTAGGAGGGGCAGTAGCGTGACCGAGGGCATGATCGTACAGTGAGATGTCCTCCTTGGCAGTGAGCTGTAGGAAGAGATGCAGGTCATCTAGCCAGGTTTCGAACTTCACTGGACGGCCCTCAGCATCGAAAGCGAGTACAGGCGGACTAGCCATAATAGTAGCAGCAGTAGCAGTAGCAGTAGTAGCGGTAGCAGCTGCAGCAGCAGCAGTAGCAGTATCAGTAGAAGCGACTGGGCCGCAAAGAGGCGGTGCGCGGGGTCTACGGGGCCAGCGGGGCCTCTATGCGGGGCGCGCGCGGGGACGACGGGGCCGCGGGGACCTCTAGGGGGGGGGGCGCACGGGTCGACGGGGTCGCGGGGCCTCTAGGCGGGGTGCGCACGGGTCGACGGGGTCGCGGGGCCTCTAGGCGGGGCGTGCACGGGGCCGCGAGGCCACCAGGGGTGGGTCGACGGGGCCGCGGGGTCGCGACACGACGTGCGCACGGGGCCGCGGGGCCTCTAAGTGAGGGGCGACGGGGCGACGGGGCCGCGGGGCCGCTAAACGAGGTGCGCGCGGGGCGTCAAGGGTGGGTCGACGGGGCCGCGGGGCCTCAAGGTGAGGGTCGACGGGGCGACGGGGCCGCGGGGCCGCTAAACGAGGTGCGCGCGGGTGGGTCGACGGGGCCGCGGGGCCGCTAGGTGAGGGTCGACGGGGCGACGGGGCCGCGGGGCCGCTAAACGAGGTGCGCGAGGGTGGGTCGACGGGGCCGCGGGGCCGCTAGGTGAGGGTCGACGGGGCGACTGGGCCGCGGGGCCGCTAAACGAGGTGCGCGCGGGTGGGTCGACGGGGCCGCGGGGCCGCTAGGTGAGGGTCGACGGGGCGACGGGCCGGAATCGGGGCGCGCGCGGGTGCGACGGGGCCACTAAGGGGCAGCGTGCGGGGTCGACGGGGCCTTAAGGGGCCGTACACGAGGGCGCACGAAGGCGCGGAGGGGGAGGCGCTAACGCAGCACTCCGACAGTAGGTAGGTAGGTAGTAGAGGTGGGCCCGAAAAAAAAAAACTTAGGTCCTAGCGAAGGACCTGCTCTGAAACCATGTCAGAATAACTGAACGAGGAATGAATGAACTAGCTCAGAGTTTGGTACAAGTAGGAAACCCTAACTTTGTGTACCCCCTAAGGTGTAACCCACTACAGCCTACACAATATAAACATACAATGTTTGACAGTGAGGAGCGGCGCGCTGCCGCCCCTCGACGCAGGGAATGCAGGGCGGCGCAGGCGAGGGAGGGAGGGCAGGCAGAGACCTGGGAAGCCCAGAGACCAGGGAGCGAGAGTGCATGCTACGAAGGCGAGGCAGGGAGGGGTGACCAAGGCGGTGGTGCCACAGGAGCGTGTCGTGCGACAGGCGGCGGCACTCACACTGGGTAGCTACCTGAGCAGACGCGTACAGCTGCGGAGACAAAGGAGCGGAGCGTGAAACAGTGGTGAGGGTGTACAGACTGGACCCCGGCTCACGAGTGAACGTGGCCAGGTGGCGGCCAGTCTTGGAGCACGTGCAGATCGCCACACGCTGCCCTCCAGGAGTCCAGGTGTCAACCCAGTGATCCTGGAGGACGGCGTTGCTCACCAGGTTCGTAGAGAACGAGGGAACGAGGAGACCTGACAGCTCACCAGACGGGACCGCCGGGCACGGGAGCACAGTCGTGGCTCGTGCAAGCACTGGGCCCCCAGAGGGGTCAGCCAGTGAGACAGGGACAGGTGCAGGGAGGGGAGTGACGGTGGTGCTATCGCGAAAGAAACAGCGGGAAGCACCAGAGTCAAGTGTAAACGTGTGCAAGGCCTGAGCCGACTCAGTACCAAGGGGAGCAGACTCACTAGCACCTAGGGCTGCAGCCCTTATACCGGGGTCAATACCAGGGTCAGGCGGCACACACAAGTAACAGTCACCCTCAGCACTAACAGTCAATGCATACATGGCAGCAAGAATAACATCATAGTCCAGATCAAAGATAGGCACATCACGCCTAAGCAGCTCTGCCCAGTTGGGGAACTCAGTAGCATCAGGATACTTGGCACGCCAGGCGTCACTAAGCCTAGCAAAACAACGGTACTCAGTGTGAAAACCGTTGCAGGGGCGACCCTTGCGGGGGCCAGTACGAATGACATAGGGGCAGCGGTCAGAACCCCGAGACGCCCCACGCCCAGCATACCAGTCATTGAGCTGCTGGGAGGTGAGGGGAGGAAGCTGCTGCTGCTGCTGTGGCTGCTGCTGCTGCTGCTGCTGCTGCTGCTGGCCACCAGTGGGGCCACCCTTCTGGCCAGATCCACCCCCACTCCCACCTCCACCGCCACTGCCGCTGCCTCCTCCCCCACCACCGCCGCCGCCGCCTCCACCGCCCCCGGTCCTGCCGCCACCCCACCCACCGCCTCCACCCCCACGGCCACCCCCACCACCTCCACCACCCCCGCCGCCTCCACCACCGCTCCCTCCACCGCCACCTCCGCCACCCCTGCCACCCTTGCCGCCCCTGCCACCACCACGCTTCCCACCAGGAGCGGAAGCCGCTGCGACCTTCTCCGCACCGAGGAAGTCGACAGCAGTAGCAGCAGAGGCGTAGGAGGGGTCAAGAGGGGAGGGGGAGCACCCCTCAAAGAGGGGAGTGCGGGGAGTGCCACGAGCAGCACCGACAGTGAGGATGTTCTTCCCTGCTGTGACCAGCTGCTGCTCGAAGTCGTCCAGAGTGATAGTTGGAGGATCCTTGGCAAGGAAGTGATCCCTGACAGAGCGAAGAGTGTCAGGGAGGCGGGTGACGAGGATGTAGAGGGTGAAGTACAGCGGGGGGGTGTTCGTGGCGAGGAACTCGTCGGTAAGAGCGGCTCGAAAGCGGGCGTCACTAGCGCGGAGGTGAGTGATAAGGTCGGCAGCAGTGTGAAACGAGGCTAAGTCTGGGAACAGGTAAGGCAGGATGAGACTACCAACGGTGGCTGTGGCCGGGGCGGAATAGCGGGCAACGACAGCATCATACAGCGTCTTAGCAGTCTTAAGCTGGTTGAAATGCGCGCGCTCAGAGATCGGTAGGTGATTGCGAATAACAAGGCGCGCGACTGCATCGCGGAGCTCCCACTGTGCTCGTTCAGGGGCAGGAGCAGTCTCAGCGGGAGTAGGGACAGTGCCGGTCACATAGGCTAGCAGTGATACTCCGTCTGCGACGTCAGTCATAAGGTAAAGCCGCAGATCACTAAGCCAGGTGTCAAACTCGATGGGGCGGCCGTCAGGCTCAAAGGCGAGAACAGTAAGGGTCGCCATGGTTGCAGCGCAGGCAAAAGTAGCAGGCTCAGGCAGCAGGCTCAGGCAGCAGGCTCAGGCAGCAGGCTCAGGCAGCAGGCTCAGGCAGCAGGCAAAGGCAGATAGGAAAAACAGGGTAAACCCTAAACCCCGGACGCAATGCACGGGGCAGCAGTGCGCTGTACGAGCGACGAACGCGACTTGCAGGGCCTAGGTGGGCTGCTCACGGACGGTAGGTGCAGTGCGCAGCTCTGAAGCAGGCCACGCAGGCAGCGAACGCGACGCGCGGGGCCTAAACGGGCTGCGCGCGAGCGACGAACGCGACGCGCGGGCTGCAGACGGGCTGCGCGGGGCCTTAGCGGGCTGCGCAAGGCAGCGACGGGCCGCGCGCGGGCTGCGCGGGCTCAGGGCGGGCTGCGCGGGCGACGAACGGGGTGCGACGCGGCTGGCAGCGGCAGTGCGCGCTAAAAAAAAAGGCGTGCGCGCGCAGCCGAGGCGCGCGCGGGCAGCAGGCTAGGCAGACAAACAGGCAAGGCAGGTAGGCAGGCCGTTGGTGAGGTAACTTAGTAACTGGTGGGCCCTTAAACTTAGGTCCTAAGAACCTGCTCTAGATGCCATGTCGAGATAGCTAGGCAAGGTTGGTTGCATTGACGAGAGAGATTGGTACAAGAAACACAACCCTAAAGTGTTATCCCCTGTAACATCTACCCCACTACAGCCTACCAATATATATCACACATATATATCATTTGACATGCATTGCCCACCGTCGCCTGGCCTCGTAGTCTCGCAGCTGGTTCTCCAGGCGCGCCCTTTCGCGATCCTGGCGGCGGATGAGCGCATGGGCGGCCCCCAGATCCTGAGGCATGGGCTCCCCGGCCCATCCATGCTCAACCGCACCGTCAGCATCGCGCTGGTCAGAAGCGCCCGCAGGTTGCGCTGCTGGCGGACCCCTCCCTCCCGCGTAGTTGGTAGGCATTTGGGTGGCACGGGTACTCGCCACTAGCTCCGTCATCGAGCGCGTGCGTGGCGAGAGACCTGCAGCAAATTCAAATGCGAGGTGCAGCATTAGGGATTGTGATGACCACATACTTTTGAGGGAATTGCATCGTCATCGTATACGTACCATCCAGATCTTCTTCAGCGTGCTCTGTTGGACCGGGCTGCGGGGACGACAGTCGCGAGCGCATTTGGCGCTGTGTGCGCGTGTGCAGCGTGCGCACGGTGCCTGACGCAGGCAAGGCCATGATTAGGTGGCGGCCCTGGTTGAACGCTTGCCCTGGGACAGAATGTACATGATTCCGCTGGAAAGATCGTAATCGTCATGCGACCACTGCGAGTGTACGCCCTGGGTCGACCTGGGGGTTCGCCCTACAAACATGCCAGGACGGCCAACCCCCTCGTTGACATAGCCCCCTTGGCCGTGCCCTTGCATAGCCATGGCGGTATGGAGAAAGAGTATGGTGCGCGAATGCTAAGTGTCGAGCTATACTTGCGTTTGAGTCGGGAGGAATGCCGTTCTCTAGCTGGGCCTGAAGCCTGGTAGGTTCCGTGATCGGTATCCAACATGTCAGATGGGAAAATCCGTGTGCGCCAATAGTCTACGAGCAGAGACTGTGCACGCACTCGGATTGGTGTGTGACCTAGCTGTGTGCTAGCCTGGACAAGCTTATCCATCTGTCAAGTGCCACTTCGCAGCGACGGCGGTGGCAACGTTCAGACATCTAGCGTCACGACCTGAGGTTACATCGCGCTCGCACCAGGTGGTTAGCAAAGTGCGTTCCGCACCTGCGCATCGAGCTATGAAGGGATCACGTAACTGCCTCAGCACACGCCGCGCCATGCGGTAAGTACCTTGATAGGGCGTGACGCGGTGTACTACCCTCGAACGACGCGCGCACGCTGATCTTCCGGCGCTCGAGAATCGTGCATGGCGGAGCGAACTATTCACGCGCGTTTCGCCACACGCGCACACTGAGTTGTCGTAAAGCGAGTCGATCGGGGGTCATCGGCATCGAGCCAAAACTATCGATTGATTGACGACAGGAAGTGTGCTCCTGAACATATATAGCCTAGACCAGAACCAGATTGCTACGGGGTATCTAAAGGGTGCATGGAATAAAGTGTGGAGCGTGTATCACTGGTGTCCGTGTCCGCGTTATTGTGTGATTCACAACCAGGAGCAGCACACTCCAATTTCCATAACCGATATGACCAATAACACACTCCAATTTCCATAACCAATATGACCATTAATGATAGTGAACATTCGGAATGCAGCATCACATCTCTACACCCTGACGTAGACTGTCGGCAACAAACACAACGGCCCTCGTCTACGCTTCGTCTGCACCTCCACCGTTGCTTGTGGACGGGCGCAATATCGCCGTCCATGTCGTCGTCGCTGTAACCAGCATCCTCCACGACAGGGACCTCGTCCGGAAAATGCTCCGCGTGGTATCCACGCGGAGTGTAGTCCTGCCTGATCAGGCGGGGGGTACGGGGGATTGTGGCTTTCAGATGAGCGAGTTCCGTGCGGTTCACCTGACGCCACACCCGCCCATTCGCGTCGACGCGGCGGTATTCTGGTCCCGCGACCGGAAGCTCACGCTGCCACTAGGCGTGCATGCCCAGTGCGTGGGCGAGGCTGCTTACGGACATGCCGTTTGTCCCTCCAACCCATCCACGGATGTATGGCAGGAGCGCCTCGGGAAGAGGGGCCCCGTTCTCACCGAAGAGAACATGAACGTCCTGCGCGTACATGTGGTGGTACGGGCCGCCTTCCACCTGCGCATTGCACGATGACTGGCGTTAACACGCGCTTAAACGACATATTAGCGGGCCATCAACATATGCACACAAAGCTTGGTTACGCACCACCCAGCCCATGGCGTGCGCCCAATGCATGAGCACTTCACGGTAGTCTATCCAGACAGGAGGGCGCGAAAGGTCTTTCCACCCTGAAGCCAGCGTGTTGACCTCGGTGTGGTCCTTAATGGCTTCGAGAAATCGCCCGCACTCAAGCTTGAATTTCTCACCATCACAGTAGTCGTTGAACGTCGCGTTAATCAGCATACCCTTGAACCAAGGTATCTCAGAAGTCATAGGCAAGCCCCTACGAGAGCGGTACTCCTGCCGGGACCTAACGCTGACCACTCGAGCACTGCTACAATGGCGATATGCAAGGTGAAAGCCCTTGGAGTTGGTGTTTCCTGGCAGACACGACTCTCGGTGAGGACGTGCTGCATGCCAGCAAAGCAGACCACAGGATGGGTCTTGAGGAGCATTTCCACAGTGCATTTACCGCTGTATGTCTGCGGCGCCACCATAAGTTAGAGCGAGAGTAAACGATAGAGATAGTCTGGATCGGGTGAAGAAAACGAGTGAGCTCTTGCTATGTCTGTTTCAGCTATAATTACGAGGGGAACTGGATGTTGCTATCTTGAGCAAGCATCTCGTGTCGCAGTGGTTGAACATCAATCCCGAATCGAATGTTTCACACACATCAGCGGGATCACATTTGGACCCTTAACGAGTCACGCTCAGCTCAGAAGTCGCATGTCTACATGATGATGTCCAAAAAATCTGCGATTTGAACCTATAAAAAACAAACATTATTGACATTTGGCGAGGCAAATGGTCACAGTGCAGGAGGTGTGACTACGCCAAGGGTTTTGGGAAGTGACGGTGTCAGGTGTTTTACGAAGCCGAGCCGAGACCTGAAGCTGTTCATACATGTCCCGTGACACCTGTATGACTCGCCAAAGCGTCTGGCGCCAAGCCACAAATTTCCGAAACCCGCCATTAATTTAGCTAAACGAACATCCATGACGCGCTCTTGTTATGGTTACCGTGGTGCGAACGCGACCTCCGAGTTTATCGTAGATGCGCTGTATATAGCGGTTTGTCGCAGTACGGAACAGTTGATACTGCTAGTGACATGGTTTGCGCGGTCATGGTTGCAATGCTCGGGCACAACCGACCAACACTTATGGTGCCACGAGGAAATTTCGCGTGATAGCATCCGAAGCCAACTCGCCCGTTGGACGAATAAATGTGCACAAATGACCGACAATCAAACAACGGGGGAATGACCACTATATATCAGAAGATTGATGTGAGACTTTAAACCACTGTGTACCACGGATGTTGATGATATGGGCCACAGCACGCTACTCAACACCGGCTTGCACCCGTCCTGCATTCGATGCACACATACATAGTTAGGCACACATCTATGACACCATACGAGGTCAGATCGCAAGACCCTAAATTAGTCCATACTGTTGGCCTTTGGTGAATGGACATGCCGCAATAAGCGGCTGATGGTATCGTTATACGAACGGACCGTAGATTCGCCTATAATGTCCGAAACGATCGTATTTCCGGCCTAGCAGTTCATGATGCTGGCGTTAAATTAGCCCAATTCCGGCGGGATTTGGCAGAGCATCGGGTTGTACTCCAGTTCTGAACATCACAACTCCAATGGCTAGCTCCGATATATGCGCGGACGGGTCCACGGTGATGGTGATGGACCAGTCGCACTACGGAGCACATAGGAACATCTCACGCGTCATAGGCAAGACCGTCACGGGTCGTGTGTACAGTTTGACAGTCAGATGCTTCTCACGTAAGCATGGACGAACTAACGATACCAGCCCAATGGTGGGCGTGCGGATACTGTGTCGAAACATTTGCAACATACTCGGCACGAGCGAGTCACGAGCGCACCAACCCGCCGTGTATAGCTGAGCGCCAACGACGAGTTAACGCTGGCGAGACGAGTGGCCGGACAGGTGAAGCCAGCAGAGCCGCCTCCCAGACATCTCTTCCTCTTCGTGGAAACCGTGACGAGCAGCCAACTTTTCAACCCGCCACCACGCCTCCTGCTTCGGAGAACGTATTAGCACGCCAGGAACATGATGGCCTTGGCGCGGTTCCCGCGACGACAGGAGAGACGGCCGCAAGCGCTAGATCAAGCAACGACAGTGCCGAATCTGTCGCCGAACGTGATCCTTTGAGGGATCATCGCCGTGCTCGAGTCCCTTTCGACACGGAGTTTGCGATATGGCGCCTTGTTATGGGCGCGAAAAACGGGCGCGGCATGCTAGCTGCGAACGCCGCTTTACTGATGAGGATCCTTGCGGCACGGGGTCTCAACCTAGCAGCTGTCCGACATTGGCGCTCAAAGCGTGCAGCGGCTTCGTGCTTTGTCCTGAAGGACCGGCACCACCTTATGGCCCCGGGCACAAATATGTGGACCCGAAAACGGGCACCATGTGGGGAATGGCGCAGGTGCAAACGTCTTACACCTACCAGTGTGTCTATTACTATCGATGATTCTCAGTATGCTCATTATGTTAGTATTGGGGGCAACGTTTTGCACCGCATATAGCATGGGACTGTCACACAAGCATTCACTATCACACGAAGAGCGCAACGAGCAGGAGGTGTGCAACACACCTCCTGTGACAACGAGCAGGAGGTGTGCAACACACCCACAGCACCATGCACATCCCCCCCCCCCCCCTGGACCACAGGGCGTGGGATTATGAGCTGGGAGGCGCAGCATAAACCAGTCAGGGCGCGGAATGCACACCACCAGCGCCCACTCCCCCACTCTCCCTCTTACCTACCCTCATACCACCCAGAGTACTGCAGCATGGGACCGTGAGCTTGGCAACAACCACTCGGAGGATGAACCACGCACCAACAGCGCCCTTCCCCGAACTCTCTCTCTTTCTCTGTCCTACCCTCATACGCACCCCCAGAATACTGGGGCATGGGAGGTGTGCAACACACCTCCTGTGACTTGAAGAATACTGGAGCAGGGGATTCAGCAAGGTTGGAGGTGTGCAACCTCTGAGCGCGCACCTTTGCACTCTCCCTCCGCACTATGCTCATGCTTCTCCTGTATCACAGGTGGACGGATTCTGAGTAAGGTATTCGCCACATCATACACCACCAGCGCCCTCTCACCCACTCTCCCTCCGCATTATGCTCATATCCTTGTGCTACATTCAGAGCCTGCTGAAGAAAGGGGAGCTCATTTGCCCCATCATTCTAGCGTCCGACGTCACAACGCTTAGCGGGCACGGGCGAACACGTATATGGCCTGTTTACCTCTCCATCGCCAACCTCCCGTACTCAATGCATTGGCACGAGTCGGGAAAGGTGTTGCTGGCGTTGCTCCCTATGCCAGACAGCAAAATGAGTCCACTACAGAAGACGCAGCTATTTCAGAAGGCGATAGCAACCGTGTTACACGACATCTTCCAATAGTCGAAATGGTAAGTGTTCGCCAAAATGAATAGCAAACCCGGGCAGTCTGTCAGGATTAGTTGCTTTTTTTTTTATTACATGGTGTCTGAATTCGCGTTGTATGTGTCTTGTGCAGGGGCATGACACTCACAGACCCGCTAGGGAATGTGCACACCAATATTCGATGCTTTACGCTTACGTAGGGGACTACCATGAAATAAGCAAGGTATCATGCACGCGGGAACTCGGGCCCGACAAGCCCGGCTCGGTGTGTTATGTCGGGAAGGACTACTTGTGGATCATCCGGGATGGTCTGAACGAGCGGCGCACAGTGGACGCTCAACGAGGAATCCAAAACAACGTGGAGGAGTTGAAGAAGTACTCTACGCACCCTATTGACGTAAGTGCTTCCAGCAGCATGCACTCTCCCACAACACCGCTTGCACTGCCACCAGCAACATTCACTGGGCACGACTTGCATTGCCACCAGCCGCGTTCACTCACACAGAGCACAACTTGCACTGCCACCAGCAGCATCTCTCACTTAGAGCACGACTTGCACTGCCACCAGCAGCATTCTCTCACGCATCTCACGACTTTCACTGATCCCAACAGCATTCACCACATAGAGCACGACTAGCACTGATTCGAGCAGCATCCACTCACACAGATCACAACTTGCAATGATTCCAGCAGCATACGCTTTTACAGAGCACAACTGGCACTGATTCCAACAGCATTCCCTCACACAGAGCGCAACTTGCACTGATTCCAACAGCATTCCCTCACACAGAGCGCAACTTGCACTGATTCCAGCAGCATTCACTCACACAGAACACAACTTGCACTGATTCCAGCAGTATTCTCTCGCAAAGCTTGAGTTTTTTCAGACGCACAAGGGTCAGATGTCATTAACGATTGGTTTCACATAGTGTATCCCTAAATCTGTATGCGTTGCAGACATTCCTATGGAGATTTCATCACGCGGCAACGGACTAAGGAAACACGTATCAGGCCCAGATGCCTGACCTTCTACACGTGCTGTATGGAGGTGTTCTGGCCAGATTTGTCCAAGTGGCTAAGGGCAGCGACGCGAACGCCGAAGCGCTGGATGAGTGAGTCATAGCTTTTTGGGGTAGTCCTTGGGTTCGAGAATGACAAATGTATGGATGCAACCCACCTGTTAGACACTCTTACAGGCGGTTGTGGTGGTCCTTTCATGGCAGGCAGCTTGGTGACATCCACGACGACACCACACTTGCCGGGGGGGCGCTCCCGACGGGGCTCTACTTTTCAAAGAATTCTTATTACTCAGCAGCCAAGCATGCTGCTATGCTAACAGTAAGTATCCCACTTGCATAGCCAACTGCGTCATACGCACCAGCGGCATGCACTGACATGAGCACCGCATGCACTGCCGCCAGCGGCATACAATGTCACCTCCCGCCCCGCTTTCAGTGCAACCGGCAGCATACACTCTCAAAGAGCACTGCTTGTAATCCCTTCAGCTGCATTCACTCACATAGAGCACCGCCTGCACTGCTACCAGCAGAATACAGTTCCTCATAGCACCGCTTTGACTGCCACCAACAGTATACACTCCCAGTGTCCACCCTTTGTTCTGCCACCAGTAGATTACACTCCCACTTTGCACCGATTGTTTTGCCATCAGCAGAATACACTCCCACAGAGCATCGCTTGCATGGCTGCCAGCAGAATACACTCCCAAACCACACCGTTTGCACTGTCGCCAGCCACATGCACTCACCCACACCACCGCTTGCAGTGCCAGAAGCGGCATTCGCGGGTCCGCACGAATGCTTGCGCAGCCACCAGCGGCATACACTGACACAGAGCACCGACTGATATGCCACCAGCAGCACACACTGACCTACCACCACTGCTTGCATTGCCGGTGGTCTACTACAGTGCCTTCACTGTTCAATCTTTCTGGTTGTTTTTGTGGCAATGCCTCTCCAATGTCAGGTTCTCCCCTTCCTGTTTGAGAGGAGAATGGCGCCAACTCGTCTCAAGGCCGTGGTTTTCTTCGCCGACTGGCACAAGAACCACATCCGAGCGGAGTCCTACACTGAGGCTTCACTCAAGCAAATGGAGACGAATACAATAGAGTAAGTGGCCTTTAAACTCCTGAAACAAGCTCAATGCATACCGCGTGTCATGTACATTAAAGTGTATCACCACCCTACACCCATACCTTCCAAGCTGCCGGTCCTGTTGCATGCGCAGGCTGGTGCGGTTGCTGATGACTCATTTCTCCAGAGATGGTGATGGCTGGAATCTGATAAAGATTTATGGCCTGAGCCATCCCCCGGAGGCTACTCGACGGGGGGGCCACCCGCGTGAGTATTCTGCTGCCACCTTCGAGAACGCACACATCAGTGCATGCAAGCAGCCGTACAGAGGCTCCAACAAGCCGGGCTTTGAGTCGGCAATCCTGCAAGGGAGCTCAACGCGCAGTGCCCTGCAACGGCTGCCTGAAGCGTTCCCTGACGAAGCCCGGGTGTACAACGCCGCGGCTAAGCGGGTATGTAAGCCGGGAGTACCACAAGCATCATCGCAGTGGAGTTTCTGCACTAGATGTGAAACACGGCATGCACACCGCCCGCACCATTAATACATGATACGTGTATTTGCCCGCACCGCCTGCCCGTTCCGTGAATTTGCCAACTTGATACATGTAATTGCTGTTGCAGGCCCGGACCAGTGGAAGGCCGGCACTCACGAGCAGTGCGGCGGTGATGCGTGTTGCGGCTGCCGTTACTCCACTCGCGGGATCTGTTTTTGAGCAGTACAACAAGGCCACTGGGGGCAAGCTCCGCGGGTTTCAGGCAGTCATGCGCAGCCATGGTTACTGCAGCGCGGAAACGATGGTATGAACTCATGAGCATGGGTGCATGGGTGATAGTGGGGTGTGGACTGTAGGTTGTGGTGACAGAGCGGGTAGGTGTGGTGGGGTGGGGGGATGGAGGTAGAAGGGTGAGTGGTATGGGTGTGGGACAGACAAGGAAGGGTGAGTGTGGTGGGGTGAAGGTCAGAGGCACCCAGGGTGCGGGTCATAGGGTGGAGGACAGAGGTGGAAGGGAGAGAGTGATGGGGTGGGGCACATAGGGAGAAGGGTGAGTGTCATAGGGTGGGGGACAGAGGTGGGAGGGTGAGTGTGGTGGGGTGGGGGACAGAGGTGGGAGGGTGAGTGTGGTGGGGTGGGGGACAGAGGTGGGAGGGTGAGTGTGGTGGGGTGGGGGACAGAGGTGGAAGCGAGAGTGTGGTGGGGTGGGGGACAGAGGTAGAAGGGTGAGTGTTGTGCGGTGGTGTGGGGGGGCAGAGGTGGAAGGGTGGGTGTCCCGGGATGGGGGACAGTGGTGGAAGCGTGGGTGTCATCGGGTGGGGGACAGAAGTGGAATTGTGGGTGGGGTGGGGTGCAGGTCAGAGGTAGGAGGGTGAGTGTGTTGGAGTGGGGGACAGAAGTGGAAGGGTGAGGGTCAAAGGGGGGGGGGGAAGAGGTGGAAGGGTAAGTGTGGTGGAGTGGGGGACAGAGTTGGAAGAGTGAGAGTGGTGGGGTGGGGGACAGAGGTATAAGGGTGAGTGTCATGTGGTGGGGGACAGAGGTTGACGGGTGCATGTGGTGTGGCGGGGGACAGAGGTTGACGGGTGCATGTGGTGTATGGGGGGGGCATAGCTGGAAGGGTGAGGGTGTTGTATGGCTGGCATGAGGGGGGGTTCTCAGATACGATTCAGAGAGAGTAGTGCGAGTATGCACTGGCTAGAACAGGGGGGTGTTGGCTTGACACCCTGTACTATACTTCTCAACCCATCCCTGCACCATTGGCATTCCATAACTGTGTCACCAAGCGCACAGATGGGCTCTGTTCCTCCCTCCCCACTCCGTAAACCACTAGTCTGCGTCTGCTGTGGTTTACGCCCAACCTTTGTGCACTAATTACATCGCATCTTCTGCCACAAGAATCATAAGTGCTACACGCCAGTCCGGTTGTCAGTAAACCCCGCATCCCCCGTCCTCCTCCCCCCATGCCGTTCTGTGTCTTTGTGAATTACACCACCACAGATGCACCGTGCTGTTGCCTTGCCAGCACCTGATGTGCGCACAGGCGAGGCATCGGCCAAGTATGCACGGGCAGCACCATCGCACCACGGCACAGGTGTGTTCTCATTCGTGGCATATGGCTCCGAGGCACGTGGGGGGAGCTATGGCCAGGTGCTTTTGTTGCTGCGAGCACGCAAGGCCAGGGACGGCCCTGGCTCACCGTTGCACGAGGTGGCTTATATAAAGCCATGGAAGGAGCTCGGCGTGGACGACATCACAGGATGTGTGAAGCTGGAGGCAATAGGGGATGCCGAGGCATGTGTTATTGTTCCGGTAGCCCACCTTAGGCGTGTTGAGCACATCGTGAGGTCGTTTGCGCGACCAAGAACTTGGTTGTTGAACAAGTGGGCCGAGGGGCTACGACAGGGGGGTGTTTAAATGGAGCCCCTGATGTATACCCTGGCCACCGGTGCGCTTGATGATTGCAGGCGTATGGACACGTTGGAGAAACGAGAGTTGGTAGGTACGCTAGACTTGTGACAAGTGTGTTGTGTTCACAGGCTAGCATATTCCCCCAGCTACACACCCATATATTAACGCTGACTCGTTGGACACTGCACACTGATGACAACCCTGATCGAACCCTACATCTAAAGGTTCATAAGGTTATTTGTTTATCTCCTGTTCCCTATTTCTTAGCAAGTGAAACAAAATGTAATGCAAAACAGTTATATTACAATGGAACCATAATAGTTATTCAGTCTCGAACTATGTGTATCGAGAAACCCTAAAAACAGGTTTGGAAATCTCGGTCGTATTGAGCCTCTGGAGAAGCAAAGAAGCGCCAAAGAACGTCCATCCCCCTCCCGCCAACGTTGGGGTAACCTCGGGGTACCCTCGCGAACTGGAAACCCTCCCGATTGGTCAGAAGGTTTGCTCCGAAGGCGGGCGCTAAGATTGGCGGTTGTTGCTGACGTAGCTTGTGCCGTGAGGTAACCTGAAGGGAAGAGAGGGGGAACTTGTGGGTCACCACGTGAGGGTGACCCCGGGGTGTGCATCATTCTGAAAGTGATATCGACGAGGTGAAATTTGGGATGGGGACAGGCGGCGGAGATCTCGAGGCGGAGTTGGCGGAGATCGGCGCGCAGCTGGAGGCGGTGGCGGCTGTGCGCGACGACCTGCGCGCGGCGGTGCAGCGAATGGACGGGCTGACGCGGCAGCTGCAGTCGGACCTGCTGGGCGTGCATCGGCGGCAGGAAGGCGCAGGTGCGTGGGGTGAGAGAGCATGAGCGGAAGCTAGAGGGTGCAGGTGAGACGGGAGGGCCGAGCGACTATGGGCGCGCAGAGGATGGACGGGGTGAGCGGTAGCTGGCAGTGGGACCTGCTGGGCGTGCATCGACGACAAGCGGGCGCAGGTGAGTGGGGGGAGAGAGCTTTGAATGAGCGCACGTGAGTGGGGGTAGAGAGCATTGAATGGGCGCAGGTGAGTGGGGGGAGAGAGCATTGAATGAGCGCAGGTGAGTGGGGGGAGAGAGCATTGAATGGGCGCAGGTGAGTGGGGGGAGAGAGCATTGAATGAGCGCAGGTGAGTGGGGGGAGAGAGCATTGAATGAGCGCAGGTGAGTGGGGGAGAGAGCATTGAATGAGCGCAGGTGAGTGGGGGGAGAGAGCATTGAATGAGCGCAGGTGAGTGGGGGGAGAGAGCATTGAATGAGCGCAGGTGAGTGGGGGGAGAGAGCATTGAATGAGCGCAGGTGAGTGGGGGGAGAGAGCATTGAATGAGCGCAGGTGAGTGGGGGGAGAGAGCATTGAATGAGCGCAGGTGAGTGGGGGGAGAGAGCATTGAATGATTGCGCCGCCCTTCTCTCCCCAATCCACATCCCTCTCTCACCCCCCTCAGTGCAGCAGGAGATACAGAAGGCACGTGTGTAGCAAATCTGTACCCATCTGTACCCATCCAATACCGGTCAGATCTTCCCCTTGAACCCCTGGCGCCCTTCTCTTCCCCTCCCCACCCCCCGCAGTGCAGCAGGCGGTGCAGAAGGCGCGGGAGAGCGTGCCAAAGCTGCAGGCGGCGTATGCTGAGCTGGCAGCAATCATTGCTCGCCGCCCGGGCGAGTTCTACAGGTACGTACGAGTTGAAGGAATAAACTGGAGAGCACTGCGGTTCGACAGGTTCTACTGGCGGCCTATGCTGGACTGGAGAGCAGTGTGATAGCGAGAGAGTGTGTGCTCTCAAGCACGCAGGCTCACTCTCAATCTTGATTCAGTCATTTTTTAGTTTACGTGCAAGTGTGACGTGGACCGATGGCTAGTCTGCAACTGGTGTTTGCTTGCTTCTGTGACTCTTTCTCTGCATCCTCTTTCTCTCTTATAACGAGTATGGAGTTTGCTTCTGGTGTTTCGCTTATTCACTTTTCTTTTGCTGATTGGTGCCGCACTCCCCACCTCAGGTTCAGCGACCACTGGCGCAGTCAAAACCACACGGTGGTGTCCCAGCTGGCGTTCGCTCATTGGCTGGACTCCGGCACGCTGCTCTCGCACAAGCAACTTGAGGAGCAGCTACAGTGTAAGGCACTGTAGACTCCGTTTAAGATTTCAGAGTATTTCGCTTCTAACTGAGTATTTCGTTTCTTAGAGAACCTTTTCATGGTTTCCCTCAAAGGCTCTTCAAACAGTCGAGTGTCTCAAAGATTCAGCTCCTCCCTACCTTCTTCCCGCTCGTCCCTACCTTCTTCCCGCTCGTCCCTACCTTCTTCCCGCTCGTCCCTACCTTCTTCCCGCTCGTCCCTACCTTCTTCCCGCTCGTCCCTACCTTCTTCCCGCTCGTCCCTACCTTCTTCCCGCTCGTCCCTACCTTCTTCCCGCTCGTCCCTACCTTCTTCCCGCTCGTCCCTTGCCCCCATGGTGCGTGCCTTGCAGTGCGTGCATCATCATTCAGCATCGATCTAGAGGACTATCTCACCAGCCCCCGCGTTTGAGTCAAATCAAAAGTCCTCCTTTCCACCCCCCCCCCACTGCATGTCTCCCAGTGCGTGCTTCATCCTTCTGCATCGATCTAGACGACTACCTCACTGGCCTCTGCGGTCTCTCCTTCCCTCCTCTTCCCCCCGTGGTGCATGTCTCGCAGTGCATGCAGCATCGTTCAGCATCTATCTAAAGGACTACCTCACCGGCCTCCGTGTTTGATTCGACTCAAATGTCCTCCCCTCCCACCACCATTTCTCCCCCCCCTCCCCTCCCCTCCATGATGCATGTCTCGCAGTGCCCGCAGCATCATTCAGCATCGACCTAGAGGACTATCTCACCGGCCTCTGCGGTCTCTCAAATGAATTCGTGAGATCCAACCTCCTCCCCCCTCCTCCACCCTCCTCCACCCTCCTCCACCCTGCTCTTCCCCCTCACATCCCCCCATGCTCCCCTTCCCACCCCCGTGTGCTCTACTGCCCTCTCATTGCTGCTCGTTACGTTGTCTCCATCCCTTGTTCATTGCAGTCTCAGAGACAACGTAACGCAGTCTCTTGTTCATTGCAGTCTCAGAGACAACGTAACGCAGTCTCTTGTTCATTGCATTGTCTCCTCCCCTTAGTCACCTCTTCGCAGCTTCTGTGCCTGAACCATAGAGTCACTCCCCCCTTCTCTCTCTTCCCTTCCAGTCTCACTTCTTGATGAACAGGGAAACAGAAGGAGACTATGCATGCAATCCTTAAGTGGCAATTCTTGCGAATATTCAAAAGTGGTGCCTAAGCGTGCCCCCGAGTGGCGGCTGCATTCCTCATCAATCTGTTTGCTGCCTCTCTGCTCGTGCACCTGTCTGTCCCCTCTCTGCTCATGCACCTGTCTGTCCCCTCTCTGCTCATGCACCTGTCTGTCCCCTCTCTGCTCATGCACCTGTCTGTCCCCTCTCTGCTCATGCACCTGTCTGTCCCCTCTCTGCTCATGCACCTGTCTGTCCCCTCTCTGCTCATGCACCTGTCTGTCCCCTCTCTGCTCATGCACCTGTCTGTCCCCTCTCTGCTCATGCACCTGTCTGTCCCCTCTCTGCTCATGCACCTGTCTGTCCCCTCTCTGCTCATGCACCTGTCTGTCCCCTCTCTGCTCATGCACCTGTCTGTCCCCTCTCTGCTCATGCACCTGTCTGTCCCCTCTCTGCTCATGCACCTGTCTGTCCCCTCTCTGCTCATGCACCTGTCTGTCCCCTCTCTGCTCATGCACCTGTCTGTCCCCTCTCTGCTCATGCACCTGTCTGTCCCCTCTCTGCTCATGCACCTGTCTGTCCCCTCTCTGCTCATGCACCTGTCTGTCCCCTCTCTGCTCATGCACCTGTCTGTCCCCTCTCTGCTCATGCACCTGTCTGTCCCCTCTCTGCTCATGCACCTGTCTGTCCCCTCTCTGCTCATGCACCTGTCTGTCCCCTCTCTGCTCATGCACCTGTCTGTCCCCTCTCTGCTCATGCACCTGTCTGTCCCCTCTCTGCTCATGCACCTGTCTGTCCCCTCTCTGCTCATGCACCTGTCTGTCCCCTCTCTGCTCATGCACCTGTCTGTCCCCTCTCTGCTCATGCACCTGTCTGTCCCCTCTCTGCTCATGCACCTGTCTGTCCCCTCTCTGCTCATGCACCTGTCTGTCCCCTCTCTGCTCATGCACCTGTCTGTCCCCTCTCTGCTCATGCACCTGTCTGTCCCCTCTCTGCTCATGCACCTGTCTGTCCCCTCTCTGCTCATGCACCTGTCTGTCCCCTCTCTGCTCATGCACCTGTCTGTCCCCTCTCTGCTCATGCACCTGTCTGTCCCCTCTCTGCTCATGCACCTGTCTGTCCCCTCTCTGCTCATGCACCTGTCTGTCCCCTCTCTGCTCATGCACCTGTCTGTCCCCTCTCTGCTCATGCACCTGTCTGTCCCCTCTCTGCTCATGCACCTGTCTGTCCCCTCTCTGCTCATGCACCTGTCTGTCCCCTCTCTGCTCATGCACCTGTCTGTCCCCTCTCTGCTCATGCACCTGTCTGTCCCCTCTCTGCTCATGCACCTGTCTGTCCCCTCTCTGCTCATGCACCTGTCTGTCCCCTCTCTGCTCATGCACCTGTCTGTCCCCTCTCTGCTCATGCACCTGTCTGTCCCCTCTCTGCTCATGCACCTGTCTGTCCCCTCTCTGCTCATGCACCTGTCTGTCCCCTCTCTGCTCATGCACCTGTCTGTCCCCTCTCTGCTCATGCACCTGTCTGTCCCCTCTCTGCTCATGCACCTGTCTGTCCCCTCTCTGCTCATGCACCTGTCTGTCCCCTCTCTGCTCATGCACCTGTCTGTCCCCTCTCTGCTCATGCACCTGTCTGTCCCCTCTCTGCTCATGCACCTGTCTGTCCCCTCTCTGCTCATGCACCTGTCTGTCCCCTCTCTGCTCATGCACCTGTCTGTCCCCTCTCTGCTCATGCACCTGTCTGTCCCCTCTCTGCTCATGCACCTGTCTGTCCCCTCTCTGCTCATGCACCTGTCTGTCCCCTCTCTGCTCATGCACCTGTCTGTCCCCTCTCTGCTCATGCACCTGTCTGTCCCCTCTCTGCTCATGCACCTGTCTGTCCCCTCTCTGCTCATGCACCTGTCTGTCCCCTCTCTGCTCATGCACCTGTCTGTCCCCTCTCTGCTCATGCACCTGTCTGTCCCCTCTCTGCTCATGCACCTGTCTGTCCCCTCTCTGCTCATGCACCTGTCTGTCCCCTCTCTGCTCATGCACCTGTCTGTCCCCTCTCTGCTCATGCACCTGTCTGTCCCCTCTCTGCTCATGCACCTGTCTGTCCCCTCTCTGCTCATGCACCTGTCTGTCCCCTCTCTGCTCATGCACCTGTCTGTCCCCTCTCTGCTCATGCACCTGTCTGTCCCCTCTCTGCTCATGCACCTGTCTGTCCCCTCTCTGCTCATGCACCTGTCTGTCCCCTCTCTGCTCATGCACCTGTCTGTCCCCTCTCTGCTCATGCACCTGTCTGTCCCCTCTCTGCTCATGCACCTGTCTGTCCCCTCTCTGCTCATGCACCTGTCTGTCCCCTCTCTGCTCATGCACCTGTCTGTCCCCTCTCTGCTCATGCACCTGTCTGTCCCCTCTCTGCTCATGCACCTGTCTGTCCCCTCTCTGCTCATGCACCTGTCTGTCCCCTCTCTGCTCATGCACCTGTCTGTCCCCTCTCTGCTCATGCACCTGTCTGTCCCCTCTCTGCTCATGCACCTGTCTGTCCCCTCTCTGCTCATGCACCTGTCTGTCCCCTCTCTGCTCATGCACCTGTCTGTCCCCTCTCTGCTCATGCACCTGTCTGTCCCCTCTCTGCTCATGCACCTGTCTGTCCCCTCTCTGCTCATGCACCTGTCTGTCCCCTCTCTGCTCATGCACCTGTCTGTCCCCTCTCTGCTCATGCACCTGTCTGTCCCCTCTCTGCTCATGCACCTGTCTGTCCCCTCTCTGCTCATGCACCTGTCTGTCCCCTCTCTGCTCATGCACCTGTCTGTCCCCTCTCTGCTCATGCACCTGTCTGTCCCCTCTCTGCTCATGCACCTGTCTGTCCCCTCTCTGCTCATGCACCTGTCTGTCCCCTCTCTGCTCATGCACCTGTCTGTCCCCTCTCTGCTCATGCACCTGTCTGTCCCCTCTCTGCTCATGCACCTGTCTGTCCCCTCTCTGCTCATGCACCTGTCTGTCCCCTCTCTGCTCATGCACCTGTCTGTCCCCTCTCTGCTCATGCACCTGTCTGTCCCCTCTCTGCTCATGCACCTGTCTGTCCCCTCTCTGCTCATGCACCTGTCTGTCCCCTCTCTGCTCATGCACCTGTCTGTCCCCTCTCTGCTCATGCACCTGTCTGTCCCCTCTCTGCTCATGCACCTGTCTGTCCCCTCTCTGCTCATGCACCTGTCTGTCCCCTCTCTGCTCATGCACCTGTCTGTCCCCTCTCTGCTCATGCACCTGTCTGTCCCCTCTCTGCTCATGCACCTGTCTGTCCCCTCTCTGCTCATGCACCTGTCTGTCCCCTCTCTGCTCATGCACCTGTCTGTCCCCTCTCTGCTCATGCACCTGTCTGTCCCCTCTCTGCTCATGCACCTGTCTGTCCCCTCTCTGCTCATGCACCTGTCTGTCCCCTCTCTGCTCATGCACCTGTCTGTCCCCTCTCTGCTCATGCACCTGTCTGTCCCCTCTCTGCTCATGCACCTGTCTGTCCCCTCTCTGCTCATGCACCTGTCTGTCCCCTCTCTGCTCATGCACCTGTCTGTCCCCTCTCTGCTCATGCACCTGTCTGTCCCCTCTCTGCTCATGCACCTGTCTGTCCCCTCTCTGCTCATGCACCTGTCTGTCCCCTCTCTGCTCATGCACCTGTCTGTCCCCTCTCTGCTCATGCACCTGTCTGTCCCCTCTCTGCTCATGCACCTGTCTGTCCCCTCTCTGCTCATGCACCTGTCTGTCCCCTCTCTGCTCATGCACCTGTCTGTCCCCTCTCTGCTCATGCACCTGTCTGTCCCCTCTCTGCTCATGCACCTGTCTGTCCCCTCTCTGCTCATGCACCTGTCTGTCCCCTCTCTGCTCATGCACCTGTCTGTCCCCTCTCTGCTCATGCACCTGTCTGTCCCCTCTCTGCTCATGCACCTGTCTGTCCCCTCTCTGCTCATGCACCTGTCTGTCCCCTCTCTGCTCATGCACCTGTCTGTCCCCTCTCTGCTCATGCACCTGTCTGTCCCCTCTCTGCTCATGCACCTGTCTGTCCCCTCTCTGCTCATGCACCTGTCTGTCCCCTCTCTGCTCATGCACCTGTCTGTCCCCTCTCTGCTCGTGCACCTGTCTGTCCCCTCTCTGCTCATGCACCTGTCTGTCCCCTCTCTGCTCATGCACCTGTCTGTCCCCTCTCTGCTCATGCACCTGTCTGTCCCCTCTCTGCTCATGCACCTGTCTGTCCCCTCTCTGCTCATGCACCTGTCTGTCCCCTCTCTGCTCATGCACCTGTCTGTCCCCTCTCTGCTCATGCACCTGTCTGTCCCCTCTCTGCTCATGCACCTGTCTGTCCCCTCTCTGCTCATGCACCTGTCTGTCCCCTCTCTGCTCATGCACCTGTCTGTCCCCTCTCTGCTCATGCACCTGTCTGTCCCCTCTCTGCTCATGCACCTGTCTGTCCCCTCTCTGCTCATGCACCTGTCTGTCCCCTCTCTGCTCATGCACCTGTCTGTCCCCTCTCTGCTCATGCACCTGTCTGTCCCCTCTCTGCTCATGCACCTGTCTGTCCCCTCTCTGCTCATGCACCTGTCTGTCCCCTCTCTGCTCATGCACCTGTCTGTCCCCTCTCTGCTCATGCACCTGTCTGTCCCCTCTCTGCTCATGCACCTGTCTGTCCCCTCTCTGCTCATGCACCTGTCTGTCCCCTCTCTGCTCATGCACCTGTCTGTCCCCTCTCTGCTCATGCACCTGTCTGTCCCCTCTCTGCTCATGCACCTGTCTGTCCCCTCTCTGCTCATGCACCTGTCTGTCCCCTCTCTGCTCATGCACCTGTCTGTCCCCTCTCTGCTCATGCACCTGTCTGTCCCCTCTCTGCTCATGCACCTGTCTGTCCCCTCTCTGCTCATGCACCTGTCTGTCCCCTCTCTGCTCATGCACCTGTCTGTCCCCTCTCTGCTCATGCACCTGTCTGTCCCCTCTCTGCTCATGCACCTGTCTGTCCCCTCTCTGCTCATGCACCTGTCTGTCCCCTCTCTGCTCATGCACCTGTCTGTCCCCTCTCTGCTCATGCACCTGTCTGTCCCCTCTCTGCTCATGCACCTGTCTGTCCCCTCTCTGCTCATGCACCTGTCTGTCCCCTCTCTGCTCATGCACCTGTCTGTCCCCTCTCTGCTCATGCACCTGTCTGTCCCCTCTCTGCTCATGCACCTGTCTGTCCCCTCTCTGCTCATGCACCTGTCTGTCCCCTCTCTGCTCGTGCACCTGTCTGTCCCCTCTCTGCTCATGCACCTGTCTGTCCCCTCTCTGCTCATGCACCTGTCTGTCCCCTCTCTGCTCATGCACCTGTCTGTCCCCTCTCTGCTCATGCACCTGTCTGTCCCCTCTCTGCTCATGCACCTGTCTGTCCCCTCTCTGCTCATGCACCTGTCTGTCCCCTCTCTGCTCATGCACCTGTCTGTCCCCTCTCTGCTCATGCACCTGTCTGTCCCCTCTCTGCTCATGCACCTGTCTGTCCCCTCTCTGCTCATGCACCTGTCTGTCCCCTCTCTGCTCATGCACCTGTCTGTCCCCTCTCTGCTCATGCACCTGTCTGTCCCCTCTCTGCTCATGCACCTGTCTGTCCCCTCTCTGCTCATGCACCTGTCTGTCCCCTCTCTGCTCATGCACCTGTCTGTCCCCTCTCTGCTCATGCACCTGTCTGTCCCCTCTCTGCTCATGCACCTGTCTGTCCCCTCTCTGCTCATGCACCTGTCGAGTGGCGGCCGCCTTTCTTGACGACGTCCTCTTGCTCTTTTCCCCCCCGGCCGCCCCTCATCTCAGCCGCGCTTTGTGATGAACAGGGTGACAGCGGGCGACTACGCTGTCCCGCGAGTGGCGGCCGCCTTTCTCAACGATCTCTTCGCTGCGTTTCGCAAGCTCAACCTGCGCAACGACATGCTGAGGAAGAGATTCGACGGTGGGTGATTAGAGTCATATGGGCGGTATTAGATTAGATTTGATTTGATGGTTGCACGTGAATGCCTCTTCGCTGCGTTCCCCAAGCTCAACCTGCGCAACAACATGCTCAGGAAGATATTTGATGGTGCGTGGTTGGATGGGGCGATGTTAGATTCGATCTGGCAGGTGCCACATGTGACAGCCCTTCTTCCATGCTCAACCTTTGCACGAAGGTGGAGCAGGGAGTGATATACTACGTGGAGATTAGGCCACGGGGCCTGATTAGTAGTGCATCTGTCGAGCCCCTATCTGATTCGCTGCCTCTTTCCGTGTGCCCCCATCCCTCCATGTCTTACACATGCCTCCTGCTGTGTCATGTCCTGCAGGCATCAAGTACGACCTGAAGAAGGTGGAGGAGGTGGTGTATGACGTGAAGATACGGGGGGCAGTGCCAGGAGGCCATCTGTCAATGCTGTTTCTGAATTCTGCCCTTGCATGTGTCCTTCATCCCTTCATTTCATGCTATGCAGGTATCAAGTACGACCTGAAGAAGGTGGAGGAGGTGGTGTATGACGTGGAGATACGGGGGGCAGTGCCAGGAGGCCATCTGTCAATGCTGTTTCTGAATTCTGCCCTTGCATGTGTCCTTCATCCCTTCATTTCATGCTATGCAGGTATCAAGTACGACCTGAAGAAGGTGGAGGAGGTGGTGTATGACGTGGAGATACGAGGGCTGGCGAGAACAGCAGCAGAGCCCATGCAAGATGCATAGTGATATTGAGTACGCAATGAGTGTGCAGGTTACTGAAATTGTACAGAAAATGAAAATGCAGCAGATCAGCTGACAAGGCGCCTCAAGAGGTCACGGGTGAAAAGTGGCACACGTTCCTTGTACAGTACTTCGATTCGATTTCAGGAAGATATAAAATGTATACGGTATTAGGTATGTTAAGTGTAATTGGAGCAGTTAAATTAGGGCATCAGATGATTGGAGTCAATGTGAAGCAATGAGCCCTCACTCCCCCATTTCCGCCACCTCTCCTACCCCATCTGCCTATTTAGCAAGAACCGCTCTGCACCTTCCACGCTGTGGCAGCTTCCAAAACCCTCTCCTCCCCCACCTGCATGCTAACCTGTGCAATCGGCACACTCTTGTACAAGTTGGTTGGACTAAGCACACAAGCAGGCGCAGCAGCAGCTCCAGAGCCTGTATTGGCACGCAGAGAACACTGTCAAATGGCACACCAGTGCTTGCAAGAGCAGCCCTGCCGAACCTCACATACGGAACGAAGCAGTCAGGCAGGGTCGGGTCAGCCTCGTCGCCTTCCACTCCCTCCAGATCCAGATACTGCAGGTTCGGCAGCTGCCTAGGTGCGAAGTTCAGGTGATTTTTCAGGTTGCCCAGGGAATGCAGGGTGAGGGTGTGCAGGGCTGGGAAGGAGAAGTTTTCTGGGAGGGAGGAGATGAGCGGGCAGTTTGAAACTTTTAATACAGCGAGGGACACTAGGCCTGGGTGCTGTTCGGCGCTAGAATCATAGACAGGGATAGATAGATAGGCAGGGGCAGAGGCAGACGGAGAGGCAAAGGAAGAGGCAGAGGCAGAGGCAAAGGCAGGGGCAGAAGCTGAGGCAGGGGCAGGGGCAGGGGCAGAGGCAGCTGTATGCAGGAACAAAAACACCAGCAGCGCAGCAGCAAGCAGCATGGCAGGATAGAGCCACACACTGGGCAGCAGAGACATCAGCAGAAGCACCACAACAAGAAGCAGCGATGCAACGAAGGCGATGGCACTCCTGCTTCTAGCGCCAGCGAAAGCGAGCATAACAGCAGGGACAAGCAGCACAGGAGGTCTTACGTATTGTGCGGTAGAGAGTGCTATGAGCACTTGCATGATGAGCAGCAGCAGGGAGATGAGCAGCATGACAGCAAACACTACAGCAATGCACAGTGCAGCAGTGATTGCCTTTTCTGCCAGACTGTACGATTCCGTCTCACTTGAACTTTCCACCGTTATTGGAGGGGTCAGCGGCTTCAGAGACTCTGTAAGGCGGCATGATGCGATAAGAAGTGATTGTAAACGAGTCAGCTTGTACAAGGAGTGGGGGAGCTCCCTTAGCTGCTCGCAGTTGGTCAGGCTCAGCTTTTCCAGGCACGCTGGAAGGCTGCTTTCACACAATCCCTCGGGCAGATGCTCCAGCGCGGGCAGGTCCAACCCGAGCGTTTTTAACCGGGGTAAATTACCCAGGCTTTCAGGTAGAGCCCGGACGTTATTAAGGGAGAGGAGCTTTAGGGTTTGCAGATGGGACAACGCGCCGATGTGGTGTGGGAGTGAGATGAGCGAGGAGCAGGAGGAGATGGAGAGGGAGGAGAGAGGGAGGAAGCAGATGCTCTCCGGGAGAATCCAGAGAGAATCGCAGGCGTGGAGGGAAAGAGACTGCAGCTGCGTCAGCCCCGCCATAACATTTTCGGGCAGGCATTGCAAGTTCTCTGATTGGATGGAAAGGGTTTTCAGCCCGGTCAGCAGTTGGAATGATTCCGGAATGCACTCGAGCCCGTCCAGTTCGATTTCTAGGGTTTCCAGGCGAGCCAAGTCGCCTATCGCGTCGGGAAGCTTCGTGACGGTTCTCGCGAAGCCAGTACCGATACTCAGCATGCGCAGGTTCCTCAGGAGACCCACGCGCTCCCCCAGCCCCTGGAAACTCGCTCCCGCGCAGATCCGCAATTCCCGCAGCTGCTGCAGCGCGCCGATGCTCTCGGGCGGCGAAACGAGCTCCTGTAACGAGTCGTCGCCATAGCGAGGATGAGCGCACACGTGGAGGGTTTGGAGGTCCGTGAGGAGCGAGAGGGACGGGGGAGATGCGGAAGGCAGAAGGTGGTGAGAAGGCGGAGTTCCCTGAGCTTTCGGCATCCATGGAAGAGCGACGCGAGGCCGTCTACAGTAACCACCATGCGAAACTGATGCTCCACCGTTAGATGGCTCAGGCTCGGACAAGCGGCGGCCAGACAATGGAAGAGCGCATCGCCGTCGGCGGATACGATCGAAAATTCGAGCAGAGACACGTGCGTGAGGGTGGGGAAGCGTCGCAACGCTGAAAGAAGGCGCGGAAGCGGAAGCCACGCGAGCTGCGAGTTGCGGTAGTGCTCAGAATCGCGTATTTCTTGCATCGACAGATCGCGATGCCGAATGTTCAAGTGGGAGAGCGCGGACGTGGCGAGGCGGAGCCAGCGCTTGGAAACGAGCGCGTGGCGGAAGGAGGTCCGCGCGAGCGAGCGGAGCACGAGCGCGAGAACGTCGTCGGGGAGGCTCTCTATGGGGAAGGGTGGATCGGTGCGCGGGGGGGAAACCATTGCTTTGAGGCGGCTTAGGAAAGGAACTAACGCCATAGCGTGGATGCTTAGGGACGTCGCTAATCAGGCGAACGCGGATCTGCTGCCGTAGAGCATAGGGGCTTGCCTAAACAGAAACATAGGCAAGGACAACACTGCGATTCATCAGAAAGAAGCTTGGTTGGGACTTGGAAAGTGTGCGGCATGGGATGGGATGGGATGGGTAGGGATGGGGTGGGATGGTGTGGGATGGGGTGGGATGGGAGGTGGGACGAAGGTGGGGCAGCAAAGCAGGTTGGGCAACGAAGCAAACGGGGAGACCCGTATTTGGTTTGGTTGCAGGTTCGTTCGTTGGTGCGCTCGGCGCGCATTGCGGTCAGGGGACGTCAACAGCATTGTGAGACCGCTCGTGAATTTGAGGGGTTGAATCTGACTCGAGTCAATCCCATCCTTCAGTGTGCCTAAAGAGAAGGGAAAATATGTCAATGGTAACAAACATGGGGCACTGTAACGCGTACGGTAACGATTTCAACGCGTTTGGTAACTCGCTTAACACGTTTAGTCACTCGCTTAACACATTTGGTAACTCTACACTAGCAGCCCATCACGCGAATGGTAACTAAATGAAATTCCCGCCGAAATGAGCCTGAAAAAGAGGAATTTATCGAGTTGGAAAGCTTTTACGCACAGTATTATCCATTTGAACAAAGTCCCGCCGCGAATTTGAAGGACCCCGTTTGTTCTAATATCACAGACCACAGACCGTTGGTAGAACAGTTGTCAGATGGCCGTGGCGATCGTATGCCTGGCTGCTCGTGACATGTCCACGCGGTAACAACCGGTTCTAGTAGAGTCCTACCTCATCCCTCTCATTCTGTTACCTTCACGTCACAAAGATTTAGGGCCATTTTATATATATACGAGCTTGTACAAAAATGGTTAAATTCTAAAATTTTATAGCATGATTGCGAACTTGCAAAACGATAAAAATAAAAATCCAAAAGGACCTTGGGAATTTTACCGTTTATAATTAATGCAACGTTGGAGAATTTTTGCACGTGGGAAAAAACACTCCTCTTGAAAATTAAATGTTTCGTATTTCAAATAAAGAACCATAAACGCTTGGTCGCAAGAAGTTTAAGTTTGTTTCTCTCAGATTTATCTGCCATTTGAAAGGAGTATAGATTTGTTTGCCCCGGCTGCACGATAGAAAAAAGTACTAAAGTTTGCGGAAGGAGCGCCAGAATTTTAATTATGTATGAACAGATATTTTCACAACACTTCTGTTTCTGCAATAATTTTGAAAATCGGAAAGTGTGTCAGGATTTCGGAGAGTGTGTCAGAATTTCGGAAAACAGTGTCAGAATTTCGGAGAGTGTGTCAGAGGTTCCTGCTTCAGAATTCGTCAAATTTTTCTGACGCGAGTGAGTGCGCCCATAACCCCCCAGGCCGCCGTGCCTGTAACCCTTCCCTAGGATCAATCGGGGATCTCCAGTGGACCTCTGACACCCCCCCGCACTGGGATGCCCGAGGTGCACACACCGGGATTCGAACCCGAGACCTTCGCTCTGATACCATGTCAGAATCCCAGCCACTAACCACTGGGATAAAAGGGCTTGTTTGTGTAGCGGGTGAGTGCGCCCATAACCCCCCAGGCCGCCGTGCCTGTAACCCTTCCCTAGAATCAATCGGGGATCTCCAGTGGACCTCTGACAGCGAGCGGGAAAAACCAGAATCAGGCTCAATTTCGGCGGGAATTTCATATAGTTACCATTCGCGTGATGGGCTGCTAGTGTAGAGTTACCAAATGTGTTACGCGAGTGACCAAACGTGTTAAGTGAGTTACCAAACGCGTTAAGCGAGTTACCAAACGCGTTGAAATCGTTACCGTACGCGTTACAGTGCCCCATGTTTGTTACCATTGACATATTTTCCCTAAAGAGAATTCCTTTGTAAAGGAAATATGATACCTAAGAAGAGTTCAACTAAACAAATTATCCATGGCGAAATTAAAAAAAAAAACACAAAAAAAAAAAAAAAAAAAAAAAAAAAAAAAAAAACTGCATGCTGGAAATTGTGTTCAAGGCTTTTAAAAAAGCCCAAGAAAACAGCATGCTACCTACAACTTCTATTGCACTCTCTGTTGTACAATAACCTGCACAGTACATGTATCCAGAGCCAAACAGAAGACTGGCATGCACAACCAAGTGACCAAGTGCACGCACCCCGCAGCACTGAACAACCCGCCCTCATCAGCAACACAGCCAGCTGCAGAAATGAATCCACCACATGCAGAAGAACAAACAGAGCTTTCACTCGCATGAAAAGCCACATTCTCCCCTATCGCACATCGGGAATGCGATCAAACAGCCATGGATGAGCCTCAGCACCCATCCTCTCCAGCACCAGACACTGCAGTTGGCGCAGCTGCCTGCTGGATAAGTCCAGGAGATCTTTCGGAACGCCCAGAGAATGCAGGGTGAGTGTGTGCAGGGCAGGGAAGGAGAAGTTTTTCGGGAGGGAGGAAATAAGCGAGCGGTCTGAAACCTTTAATACAGTGAGGGAAAATAGGCTTGTTCCGTTCCATTCGATACGGAATCAAAGGCACAAATAGGTACACTATGTTGTCAGTATGTGACGTTTGTCTAGCCTGTAGTGGGGTACTCTATAGCGAGTACAACCCGAATTTCCTATATGTACTCAACTGCCTGCTAGTGAAAACCCTCTTTCCTGTTTCTAATTCCTGCCTATTGTTTTGACATGCTATCAGAGCAGGTCGACCCTCCTGGGTCGATCCTGTGGGTGGGCCCACCCGATGCTTCCGCTGCTGTGCTATGATGTTTCCTGCCTGCCGCGCGCGCGGCGGTTTCCTGCCCCGTCGACCAGCGTGTCGCCCCCCGTCGCCCGTCGCGGCGCCCCCGGGGACCCGCGCGTCGGCCCCCGTCGCCTGACACGGCCCGCGCGACCTGCGCCAGGCCCGCGCGCGGCCCGTACAGCCTGTGCGCGGCCCGTTTGGCCTGCGCCAGGCCCGCGCGCGGCCCGTACAGCCCGCGCGCGGCCCGTACGGCCTGTGCCGGGCCTGCGCGCGGCCCGTACAGCCCGCGCGCGGCTCGTAAGGTCTGCGCCAGGCCCGCGCGCGGCTCGGGCGGCCTGCGCCAGGCCCGTGCGCGGCCCGTACAGCCTGCGCCAGAGCTGCGCGCCATCCCCCGAGCTGCTGCCCGCGCACCGCCCCCCGCTGCTGCCTGTGTTAGGGTTTGGGGGTGGCGAGTGTGGGGGTGGCGAGTATGGGGGTGACGGGTGTGTGCGCCATCCCCTGCTCCTCCTCCTCCTCCGTCTCCCACTGCTGCAGCTGCCAATGAGAAGGGTGGATGTGTTGGAGCCGTCGGAGTGGTACGAGGGGGGTGGCGTGTGAGGAGTGCTAGGGGTATAGCACGGAGTGTGTGAAAAGGGTGTGGGATAGTTGGGGGAGGTTGACCAAAGGCCAGTAGGCCGGGGGTTGAGTGCTCCGGTAGCCCAGCGAGCCTGCTGCGCCAGTCGCCCGTGGGTCAGTTGCTCCTGCCGCTCGTCTTAGCGCGGAGCCAGTTACTCCTGTAGTCCGGAGGTTGAGTGCTCCGGTAGCCACCGTGCGCGCCGTTCCTGTTGCCCGTGTGTCTGCGGCTTCACCCGACGCCTCCTATCTCCACTCCTCTCACAGTCCCTCCTCCTCCTCACTTGCCCTCTGTGACTGCCTCTAGCTTTGCTTATCATTGTGAACTATTGCTATGCCTGCTTGTTGTGCTGATTATACCCCACTTTGACTATGGGGGTGTGTCAGAATGTGATGTTTGTCTAGCCTGCAGTGGGTTACTCAATAGCGATTACAACCCGAATTAGGGTTTTGTATATGTACTCAACTGCCTGCTAGTGAAAACCCTCTTTCCTGTTTCTAATTCCTGCCTACTGTTTTGACATATGTGTGGCAGGGGCAAGGGCAGGGGCAGGGGCAGGGGCACGGGCACGGGCATGGGCACGAGCAGGGGCAGGGGCAGGGGCAGGGGCAGGGGCAGGGGCAGGGGCAGGGGCAGGGGCAGGGGCTGGGGCTGGGGCTGGGGCTGGGGCAGGGGCAGGGGCAGGGGCAGGGGCAGGGGCAGGGGCAGGGGCAGGGGCAGGGGCAGGGACACTGGCAGGGGCAGGGGCAGGGGTAGGAGCAGGGGCGGGTGTGAGGATCTAGGATCGAGCTCAGAAAAGATGATTGTGAATTGAATGATCACCTGGGTACAACACGAGGCTATATATAGGCTCGACACAAGGCAGGTAACCCAGGTGTTACGCGAATGTTCCGAGAGTCATGAAGCGTCCCGAACAGAACCTTCCCGAACTCGGTAGAAAGCAATTCGGTGGCAACAAAATAGCTTGAGTTCGGTACACGTAACCTGGTTCGGTGCCTATAACTATAATAAATATAGTAAAGCAACGAACCTAGGAAATCAAGCAATTCATGCATGCAGAAAATAAACCTAAGCTAGGAATAGCGTAAGGAAATAAAAGCAAGCATGCATGGCTGGCATAAGCCGACGTACTCTCACACGTCCCCCCCTCAAA